GCTCTTTTCTGTAAAACAAATATTGGATTTGTGATAGTTTTACAAGCTTTATCCCATACTTCAATACAATAAATTAAATGTGGAACAATTATAGTGTTATTCAACATAAACAGTGCTTTATCATTGAACAGTTCTCTTACTTTGTACAGTACTCCAATTGATTAGGCTATTTTTGTTCTTAAACAATTACATGATTTTTCCATGTCAGTTTTTCATCAACATGACACCTAGAAACTTCACTTCACTGACTCTACAGATTTCAGCATCATCAATTTTAAATGAAACATCTATAGTTCTCTTATTGTTACCGAAAATCATATAATTTGTCTCATCCAAGTTTAATGATAATTTATTGAGTTGAAACCAACCTTGTATTTTCATGAATTCTGTCTGTATCATGTCCAACATTTGTTCAATATCATTAACGGAACAAAAGAAGGTTGTATCATCAGCAAATAGAACACACCCAAAAAGATCTGATACATTTACCAAATCATTCACATACAAAATAAATAACTTTGGTCTGAGAATGGAACCCTGAGGCACTCCACATGAGATGTCACAAAACTCAGACCTTTCATTATTTATTTCTACAAATTGTTTTCTGTCTTCCAACTAACTAGATACCCACTGTAATGCAGGTCCTCTAATACATATTTATTGAACTTTTTAAAAAGAACACTATGGTTAATGGCATCAAACCCTTTTTTAAAATCAACAAAAATACTGACACAGTACTGTTTTTGATCAACAGCAGTTGTTATATGTTCTATTAATTCAATGAGAGCCATCGATGTAGAATTTTTTGGTCTAAACCCATACTGACTATTAACATATTCTGCCTGTCAATGAATTTGTCCAATCTAATCACAAATAATTTCTCTAAAACCTTTGAAAATTGTGGTAACAGGGATATTGGTCGATAGTGGTTAAACACATGTCTTTCACCATTTTTAAAAAGAGGAATTACCTTTGCTATTTTCATGTTGTTTGGAAATATACCAGTTGAAAATGATAAATTACAAATGTATGTGAACGGTTCAATCACAGAATTCATTGTTTTTTACAAACGTCATGTCCATGTCAACCCAGTCTTTTGATCTCTTGTCTGAAAGATTTTTTACAATATTTGTTATTTCTTCTTTATCAGTTTCATAAAGAAATAA